GGCATATCGATGGGGGAAAGAATAATGTTTTCAACACCTGGATGTCCATGTTCAAAAAACAGTTAGACTTTCTACCTCATACCATATAAAAATATAACTCAAAATGAATCAGAAACCGAAATGTAACAGCTAGAATAGCAAAAAAAATCTTAAAAGAAAACACAGGCATAAATCTTCACAACCCTGGATGAGGCAACTGTTTCTGAGATACAATACCAAAAGCAGAAGCAACAAAAGAAAAAAAAATTGATAAAACTGGACCTTGTCAAAATTTAAAACACTTGTGTTTCCAAGGACACTATCAAGATAGTGAAAACACAGCCCAAGAACTGGGAGAAAATATTTGCAAATGATAACTCTGACAAGGGTCTAATATCAGACTATATAAGAACTCCTACAATTCAATAAAAAAATCCAGTTTAAAACTGGCAAATGATTTCAACAGACACTTCTCCAAAGAAGATATACAAACGGCCAATAAGCATGCAAAACGACACTCAATGTCACTGGTTGTCAGAACGCAAATTGAAACGAGACATCACTTCATACCCAGTAGGATAGCTGTTAACAAAAAAGACAGACAAAGCCAAGTGTTGACGAGGATGAGGAAAAACGGGATTCTTCCTACACTCCTGGTGAGGATATAAAATTGTCCAGCCACTTTGGAAAATAGCCTGGAGGTTTCTTAAACTGTTAAACACAGAGCTACCATTTGAGCCAGTTTTCTGATTATGGTTAACTAAATGTTAAACAAAACCATTCCATAGAATATTAGCTATCTTTTTTCCCCAGATATTAGGATGTACCAGAAACTTAAAAGGAAATAAAAGCCTAAATGTGCAGAACATAGAGTTTCCTCTGCATTTTTAGACTATAAAGGCTTTAGTAGCCATAGATATTCACACTGAGCATCCTGGGATCTTTAGAACTTAGATCATTCTGCATGGCTGTCTTCCCAGGTTTAAGAGCCTAAAAAAGGTTAAGAATTCTGTGATAATTCCCCCACACTTCCCTGCTTATTACGCTGAGGAAACTGAATACACCTGACGGGGCATCAAGGATATTTGTTATTCATGATGTAATGTTATCCACCCTATTTTCTTTGCACCAGAGGCTCAGAAATTTATACCTCCTGCCCAGGTTTCCCTCACATCACAGCCTTCAATCCCGGACCTCTCTTCTAGGACAAGACAGCCCTCCTTCCTAGAACTTAGTGCATGTGTGATTCATGTTTATTTGAGCAGGTTTTTTGTTTGTTTGTTTGCTTTTACTATCCTGTTAGCTCCCCAGAGACAAGGCCCCTGCTCATTTTTCACTCAGGACTGCATCCTTAACATCTGACACTCACAATGTACAAAGAAACTGTAGTCGACATTCTGTAACAGTACAGGCATACCTGGGAGATATAGATCACCCCATAAGACACATGTCATAATAAGGCAAATCACAAAAATTCTCTGGTTTCTCAGTGCATGTAAAACTTATATTTACACTACACTATAGTCTGCTAAGTGTTCAATAGCATTATGTCTAAAAAACAATATGCCTTAATTTAAAAATATTTCATTGCTAAAAAAATGCTGATGATCATCTGAGACTTCAGTGAGCAGGAATTCTTTTGCTGGCAGAAGGTCTTGCCTCAGTGCTGATGGCTGCTGACTGACTGATTAGGGTGGCGGTTGCTGAAGGTTTGGATGGCTGTGGCAATTTAAAGTAAGACAGCAAAGAAGTGTGCAACATCAACTGACTCTTTCATGAAAGATTTCTCTGTAGCATGTGATGCTGTTTCATAGCATTTTACCTACAGCAGAACGTCTTTCACAATTGGAGCCAATCCTCTCAAACCCATCACTGCTTTAAGTTTATGGAATATTCTGACTCTTTTGTCATTTCAACAATGTTTACAGCATCTTCACCAGGAGTAGATTCCATCTCAACAAGATACTTTATTTGCTCATTCATAAGAAGCAACTCCTCATTCTGCTCAAATTTCACCAGAGATCAACAGCAATGCAGTCACAGCTGTAGGCTTCACTTCTCATTCTAGTTCTCATCCTATTTCTACCACATCAGCAGTGACTTCCTCCACTGAAGCACTGAACCCCTCAAAGTCATCCATGAGGGTCAGGTCAACTTCTTTCAAACTCCTATTCAGTTGGTGCTTCGATCTCCTTCCATGAATCACGAATGTTCTTAATGGCATCTAGAAGAGCAAACCCTTTTCAGAAGGTTTTCAACTGACTTTGCCCAGTTCCATCAGAAGAATCGGTATCTACGGCAGTCACAGTCTTACACAATGTACTTCTTAAATAGTAAGACCTGAAAGTCAAAATTACTCCTTGATCCATGGGCTGCAAAATGGCTGCTATGTTAGCAAGTGTGAAAACATTCATCTTCCTGTACATTTCCATCAGAGTTCTTGGGTGAACAGGTGCATTGTCAGTCACAAGTAATATTTTGAAAGAAATATCTTTCTGAGTTGTAGGTCTTAACAATGGGCTTAATATTCAGCAAACCAGGCTGTAAACAAATACGCTGTCATCCAGGCTTTGTTGTTTCATTTGTAGAGCACAGGCAGAGTAGATTTAGCATAATTCTTAAGTGCCCCAGAATTTTCAGAATGGTAAGTCAGCATCGGCTTCAACTTAAAATTACCAGATGCATTCGCTTCTTTTTTTTTTTTTTTTTTTGAGACAGAGTCTCGCTTTGTCGCCCAGACTGGAGTGCAGTGGCCGGATCTCAGCTCACTGCAAGCTCCGCCTCCCGGGTTCACGCCATTCTCCTGCCTCAGCCTCCCGAGTAGCTGGGACTACAGACGCCCGCCACCTCGCCCGGCTAGGTTTTTGTATTTTTTAGTAGAGACGGGGTTTCACCGTGTTAGCCAGGATGGTCTCGATCTCCTGACCTTGTGATCCGCCCGTCTCGGCCTCCCAAAGTGCTGGGATTACAGGCTTGAGCCACCGCGCCCGGCCGCATTCGCTTCTAATAAGACAGCTTGTCCTCTGAAGCCAGGCACTGACTTCTCCTGTCTACCTGTGCAAGTCTTAAACAGCATCTTCTTTCAATATGAAGCTGTTTCACCCACAATGGAAGTCTGTTGTTTTGTGTAGCCACCTTTATCAGTGACCCCAGCTAGATCGTCCGGATAACCTGCTACTTCACCTTGTACTTTCGTGTTATGAAGAGTTACTTTAAACCTCATGAACCAACCTCTGCTAGCTTCCAGCTTTTTTTCTGCAGCTTCCTCACCTCTCTCAGCCTTCAACTGAGGAGAGTTAGGGTCTCATCCTGGATTAGGCTTTGACTAAAGCAAAAGTTGCAACTGGCTTAATCTTCTGGTCAGATCTCTCAAACTTTCTCTATGCCGGGAGTCTGTTTTGCTTTCTTATTTGTGTGTTCACTAGAGAAGCCCTTTTAATTTTCTTCAAGAACTTTTCCTTTACAACTTGGCTAACTGCTTGGCACAAAAGACCTGGCTTCTGGCCTATCTTGGCTTTCAATGTGCCCTCCTCATGAAACTTAATCATTTCTATCTTTTGATTTAAAGTGAGAGACATGCGACTTTTCTTTCACTTGAATATTTACAGGTCATTATAGGGTTATTAATTAGTTATTTTCAATATTATTGTGTCTCAGGGAAAAAGGAGGATCAAGGAAAGGGAGAAGGATGGAAGAGGGACCAGTCAATGGAGCAGTCGAAATGCACATGCATCAGCTGGGTTCGCTGTCTTACATGGGCATGGTCTGTGGCGTCCCGAAACAATCGCAATAGTAATATCAAAGATCACCGATCGCAGATCACCATAACAGATATAATAATAACGAAAAAGCTTGAAATAGTGTGAGAATTACCAAAACGTGACACATAGACATGAAGTGAGCAACTGCTGTTGGGAAAAATGATGCTGGTAGACTCGTGAAAAATACAGTATTTGCAAAGCTCAAGAAAATCAGCGATGCTTATACCTTCGTTTCTTCTGATTTGCTCTTCTAATCTGCCAGGGATTCAGAAGCCACATAACTGTTTTATCACTGTATACAAAATAAGACAATGTAGGCAGTGTATGGAAGACCTTATTTATCTATCTAGAGAGATCAATCCATCTCTTTTTTTTTTTTTTTTTTTTTTGAGACGGGGTCTTGCAGTGTCACCCAGGCTGGAGGGCAGTGGCATAATCTAGGCTCGCTGCAACCTCTGCCTCCCAGGTTCAAGCAATTATCCTGCCTCAGCCTCCTGAGTAGCTGGGACTCCAGGAGCGTACCACCACGTCTGGCTAATTTTTTTGTATTTTTAGTAGAGATGGGGTTTCACCACATTGGCCAGGCTGGTCTCAAACTCCTGACCTCAAGTGATCCACCCACCTTGGCCTCCCAAAGTGCTGGGATTACAGGTGTGAGTCACCGCACCCAGTCTGTCTGTCTGTCTGTCCGTCCGTCCGTCCATCCATCCATCCATCCATCCATCCATCCAAAGTATAGGAATCGCAGTGAAGATATTTTGTGAAACCTTTTATGGCTTCTTGAGAGACACAAAGTTTTAGATTCTCAGCTGTGGTTCAAACAGTGGAGGCTGCAGGCTGTCTTGGGAATGTAAGTCCAGTGAAAGTGTAAAAAAGAACATAAAAATATAGGCTGCTGAACTGGGAAAAGGTGCTAAAACCAAATCTTGAGACCACTTAGCAATTAAGGAATATCCAATTTCAAACTAGCATTTATCTTGGGAGAAGTACATTTTCCATCTCATTTAGACCACATTAACAAAATCAGTTTTTAACAGACTATAATTATCTGTTAGCAATAAAATGTCCTTTTATGATTCAGAACGCCAATCATGCTTACCATATTTTAATGCTATGTGACCCATCATAAAAAGTCATGTTTATACCTCAAATTGGAAATTCTATTTATAAGCACCCCAGTAAAAAATCACTGTAAATAGTTGTAGTAACATAACTTTCCAAAAGGTTCTTTTTATCCCCATCCATAAAGTGGTCACTCACCTGCATTAAGAGCTGTAAATAAATTTTTTCTCGAAGGACCTAAGATATAAAAGAAACATGTAAAATACACACGTTTATTTGACATATCACACAAAAACAAACCATGCTGATAAGAATTATTTTCAAAAACAATCAATCTCTAAATTCCAGGTTCCAGGGGGGAAATATTAGTGAGATTCAATCAACTTTTGTCAAGCGCATTTTAAATATAAGATGATATTCCACATAACATCCAAAGGTTTCAGAATGATATGCAAGTCATCACCACAAATTAAATAGCATCAGTTTTAATATGAAAAGCCAGTGTTTTTTCAGTCCAGAACAGCTGAAGTTCAAGTTTTAACAGTGCTGAATTCACACACTGACTGTGCACATATGCTCTTCTGCTGCCAGGAGAGCAGAGGCCAGACTTGATGAAGGACAGTCACTCCTGTGTGCTTTCTGAAACTACCCGTTTCTATTCAGCTATGAAGAAAAATAGAAATATTACTGTATCAGTTTTCCTCCAAACTGATACAATATAAAATCAGGAGTGGTAATAGGTACAGAGCTGTAAGTCACGAAAATCTATGCACACTTCTACTTAACATGAAAGAGCTGTTTCCAGCACATCATCATCTACAGATTAGTTACAACAGCTACCATATTCTATCTGAAATTTTACAGAGAGGATCATCTCTTAAAATATGTGGCTGTTATCAATGGAAAGCACTGATTCCCACTCAAGTAAAACTGCTGCAACACAAGAACCTATCAATTCCATAGTGAGGCATTTTAGAATTCTGAGTCTCCTGTTCTACAAAGCTGTCTATGAAATCTCATTCTCTGAAAGTCATTTTAGTATCAAAGTTCCACGGCGTTAACTTCGTCACTGCTGTGTGGATCATGGGGCTTTATCATCATCAATAAAAAAACCACAGTTTTCCATCCTGATGTCAACCCAGCAAGAGGTCATTTGGTGCCTCTGAAATATGATTAAATTCCTAGACAGATGACAACCTGCTGCACACTGAAGAATTCAACCCACTCCTAAAATTCATGCCTATTTTCTCTTCAATTCAGTACAAAGAAAAGGTATTGACGTACATTTACCAGCCTCAAGTTACCATATGATCCTTTAAACACACACAGAGACACATGTTAATGAGGATACTGTGACAGAGCAGCACCTTCTAGAAAGTTACTAATAGATGTTAACAATCCAAAGAGTTTCAGGCAGGTTAACCCAGTAATTCCTACTTCTGGGACATTCAGAAGTAACCAGAATCTGAAACAACGAACTATGACTCATATTTGAAGAGTTTCATCTAAGTATTAATACACCCCAGTAAAAGTCAGAAGTTGTCCAGTATAAACTAAACTGGACAACCACAGAATTTGGCAACAGTGGACTGTTGCACGGCCATTTAAAGTGAAGAAGCTCTCATGATATACTAACTTAATAAAAAGCAAGATACAGAAGAGTGTATTCATTATTACTCCAGTTTTGCTGGAATAAAAACAAAACAACAGATACATTCCGAGGAAAAAAGTCAGAAGGAAATGTGACAGCAATTGGTGGTTGACAGAATTAAGGAAGACTCTTTGTTTCTGTGTTTTCCAAGTTCTCTAACATAAATGTAGGTCTCATTTTATAGGTCAAGTTTCTCATTCACAATTATCCTCTCAGGCTTCGGTTAAGCTTCAGTTCACTAAGCACACAGAAGGCTTTTTTTTTTTTTTTTTTTTTTGAGACGGAGTCTCGCTTTGTCACCCAGGCTGCAGCGCAGTGGTGCGATTTCGGCTCACTGCAACCTCTGCCTCCTGGGTTCAAGCAATTCTCGTGCCTCAGCCTCCCGAGTAGCTGGGACTACAGGTACACACCACCATGCCCAGCTAATTTTGTATTTTTGGTAGAGATGGCGTTTTGCCATGTTGGCTCGGCTGGTCTTGAGCTCCTGACCTCAAGTGGTCCACCCATCTTGGCCTCTCAAAGTGCCGAGATTACAGGCATGAGTCACTGCGTGTGGCACAAAGAAGGCTCCTGATGTGCTTTGGGTCCACTGAGACAAAGTTGCATGAAAACATTGCACATTAAGTATATACCACATATTTTGTAAACCTGAAAATTACTTTTAATAGTCACAGCAAATACAGGGTGAGTGATATGAGAAGGAATAGAGATAAAGAACATTTAGAGGAAGAACAGTGTGTTGGACCAAAGACATGAAGACACAAGTACAGTAATAAACACAAAACCTCTACCCTGATGAAAAGTCATCATGCATTTCTACTCCTTTCTATCTCACTCTTCTACGGCACTAGTTTAGAATTATTTAACTCTACAAGTTTTGTTATTTTGACCTTATACCTTTGTTCTGCCTGCTGATTTACATGTAGTGATTTTTAACTACAGAACCTACCAACTCTCAAAACAACGATTTCTTCAGTGTGAAAATGTATTATATCTCCTTTCTCAACACATTTTTAATCATTGTTAAATATACCATAAACCTGTCAAAATTTAACTTTCTACAAGCCAAAGACTTTAAGCGTCTTGCCCTCCCTCTTCTAACCACAGTGAGAACCATACCTTTTGGAGGAGTTTTCAGCAAGTGAACATGAGCCCTGGATACCAAAGGCTTCAAATAAAAGGATCCTGAGGAACCATTTTGAAATGCTGGTTTTGGAGGTTTCTCCTCATATTTGATGACAGCGGCATTACCAGCTGTAACAAAACAGAAAAGGACACTTTATCCTATAAATACGGTTTCAAACTTCCACATCTATTCCTTTGTTCTTGAATCAACAAATGCTCAATAAGCACCTATGACATGCCAGTCATTACTGAACACTGGAAATACAGTGTGGATAACAGGTAGCTTGTGTCCTCAGGGACGCGAAATAAAGGCTGTAATCAGAGTGACCACACATCCTGGTTAGCTGGGCACAGTCCAAGTTTATGCACCTTGTCTAGTTCAGCTTTCATTCCAGACAAAAGTTGGAGAAGAAATAATACAGCCATTCATGCCATGTAACAAGAATGCCCCAGGTGCAGCTAGAAAGAGCATCCATCTCCACGGGGACAAGAAAGAATTCACGTAGCCAGCTAGTTAATGACACAAGAACAGTAACATACAGACTCTTTGGTAGCTGTAAGGATGAGATCTGGTTCAAATCCTCGCTGCTACAGCAAGGAGTTAAAACACCAACTTCTGCCCTGAACAAAGGAAGTTTGTTCCAAAGCAAACTTTATGTTTTACTCCAAAGCAAAAGCAGAAAAGGGAATCTCACCTAAATAACAAAAACCGTCTTCTGTATTATGTGTAAAAATTTCCCCTCCACCAACCCAGACTGGATTTTTTACTGTTTCTCTTTTTTTTTTTGAAATGGAGTCTCACTCTGTCGCCCAGGCTGGAGTGCAGTGGCGTGATGTCAGCTCACTGCAAGCTCCACTTCCCGGGTTCACGCCATTCTCCTGCCTCAGCCTCCCGAGTAGCTGAGACTACAGGTGCCCGCCTCCACACCCGGCTTATTTTTTCTATTTTTAGTAGAGACGGGGTTTCACCGTGTTAGCCAGGATAGTCTCGATCTCCTGACCTCGTGATCCTCCCACCTCCGCCTCCCAAAGTGCCAGGATTACAGGCGTGAGCCACCGCGCCCAGCCCGTTTCTTAATAATCATCAATATCCAATTCTAGGCACCCAATTCTATTCTACTATTCAACACTTATAAATTTCTTTATTACCAACTTTGATCCCTTTTCTCACTTTACTCATTTAGCAAAGGGTTAAGATAGCTACCTTGTTTAAAAACACATTCTAAATGTGAGGACAGCTAGAAATTTTTCACTCGGCTAAACTATTCCAACTGCTACAACAGTGCTTATACACATCACATTCAAACTTTGTACAGGCATGCTATTATTTTCCCCTAATCCACACTCGGTCCCTGTACAATGAGCCATCTGTTAATTGTTCTTGTGCCCAAATAACATTCCTAATATTAGGTCAAATCGACACAGAGCCTTCCTTCCTGCTGAGAAAATTCTGTCAATTTCCTGTTCTTTTTTTACAATTCTCACCTCCTCGAGAACCTAGAGATTTGGCTTTTCGAAAGTTGACAGGAAGCCAAATGGGAGTGACAGTATTAAAGATACTGCTATTATAACATTCAACAGAACCCTTTTTAGATGTTCATATAAAATGGATATTGGGTTTAAATGAGCATTTTAGCTTTTGTGAATCAAATCCAACAAAGAAAACGAGAGTCTTAACCAAGGAATTATAACAATCTGGATTTTAGTCTTACTTTTCTTGAAGCTATATTTGATTATATTCAGCAACAAATAAGTCACTTATTCATATTTTAAAAAATTAAACCGAGTTCAATTTATAAACCTAATATGAAATTGTGTGATTCTAAATTCATGCTTTTCCTTTCTAAACTTTAGACACAAAGGCTCACGGTTCACAAAGAGATCAGTAAAAAGATCTTCACTAAAGTAAAGGACACGTTCCTCATGAGGAATGATACTCCTGTCCCTTGGCTGTCACACGCAGAATAGGAGGTGGTGTGCTGGAAATCAGCTGTCTCACTGCCACTTTTCAGACTCAATACAACACTAGATCCATCTGGCACCAACTTCGTAACACACAACATGAAGTCGGAATCTATACTGCAAGGATAAAATGTCTGCATGTGACTCAGGTACAAACATACACGCATTTATGTTTTACACATATTTACATGAAAGCTATATATACAAGATATATATTCATATACTCAATGATCAACGATCGTACATGCTTTCTGCCTTACTAATGGCAGGCACAAACTGTACTGAGCTGAACATAATTTTATGACTGACACTTAATATCTTTCTTTCAATCTCTACTCACTGTACTCTAGGCTGGCCCACTGCTTTCTAGTAAACCCCAACATGAGGCATAATGCTCTTCAAATATTTCCCCTGCCCTCTATTTCTAATCCTAACATGGCAACTGACTGGGTATCCTGATGCTATCTAAATTTTCCCTCAGCCAGAGTCGTTACATCCAAACAATAAAGTCCTCAGCGGCAACAGTTCCAATATAAGAGATGCATAATAGTTTCGAGCAACGGAACAGGATGTAAAATACCCAAGTTCTGGTGCTGACTTGGCCACTGCCTAGCTGTGCTGAATCACATATCTATGAATAAGAAGGGTCTGAATATCGGGTATGGGAATAGACAGCACATTCGCCTTCACAGGGGCCCTACTGACTGACTGTGGTATTCAGTCCCACTGAGGCTGGAAGCATCCTCAGAATCATCCTAAAGACAGTGTTCTAGAGAGCCAAGGACACTAAACACTGCTGGCTTGAAGAGACAATACGTAAAATTTTCCATGTGGCCACCTACTTCTCAACCTGATCTAGTATGTAGTTTAAAACTGCCCCTTTCTCATCTTTGGTCCCAACTGTCTCAATTATGCCAGAATAATAGATTCTCTGGAATCCTATCTTCATTTCCCCCATGGCCAAAGTGTGTTTCAAGTGAAATAAAGGAGCTGGTGAGACTAAAAGGAAAAATGAAGGGATATTCTCAGAAAAGCCCAAGCAGAAGAAATGATTTTCCTATTAGAAAAGGGCTTCTCGGCCGGGCACAGTGGCTCACGCCTGTAATCCCAGCACTTTGGGAGGCCGAGGTGGGTGGATCACGAGGTCAGGAGATCAAACCATCCCAATTAACAAGGTGAAACCCAGTCTCTACTAAAAATACAAAAAAATTAGCCAGGCGCGGTGGTGGGCGCCTATAGTCCCAGCTACTTGGGAGGCTGAGGCAGGAGAATTGCTTGAACCCGGGAGGCGGAGCTTGCAGTGAGCCGAGATCGCACCACTGCACTCCAGCCTGGGTGACAAGAGCGAGACTCTGTCTCAAAAAAAAAAAAAAAAAAAGAAAAAGAAAAGGGCTTCTCAGGCTTGGCACAGTGGCTCACAACTGCAATCCTAGCACTTTAGGAGGCCAAAGTGGGCAGGTCACTTGAGGCCAGGAGTTCAAGACCAGCCTGGCCAATATGGCGAAACCCTGTCTCTACTGAAAACACAAATATTAGCTGGACATGGTGGCAGGTGCCTGTAATCCCAGCTACTCAGGGGGCTGAGGTGGGAGAACTGCTTGAACCCAGGAGGCAGAGGTTGCAGTGAGCCAAGATTGCGCCACTGCACTCCAGCCTGGTTGATAGAGTGAGACTCCGTCTCAAAAGAAAAAAAATGGCTTCTCATTGTTCCAGACTTTTATCTGCAAACTGCCATTCATACTACATTCTAACATCTAGTGAAAATTCGCTTTTATTACATTATGTATATACACACAGAGCCAACATTCTGTTCATTTCTTGAATTTTATGTGAATCAGTTTAACACTCCCCACTGTGCCAGATCATCTGCCCACCTGGCTTAAAATCCAAGTACTACTGAAATCTAAGCTCTTGAATTTCAAAAGCAGAATCACTCAACTATATCATAACAAGAACGTCTCACATATACCCTAGAAAAACATGAACAGAGAAAGAATGAGAACAAAGTTAACAGTGGTTTGGATAGTATTTCCTTCTTCAATAGTCCATTCAGAAGTGTGCAAGTACTAACATGTTTTGTGATGTAGAGCCTAATGAATCGACCTTCTGTTCCTCATCTTAGCCTCACCTATGACAGACATCACTAGTTGAACACAAAACTTTCCCTCTGAACCTGGAGGCACCCTGAGAAACCACTGACACTATCCTACAGGCGAATTCTTATCCACTAACTGGTGTTGGCCACTAACCAGTGTTGGCAGGTGAGACAATATTCTCTTGCCATTCCTGTCGTGAGAGAAGAAAAAAAAAAACACAACTAAGGGTAAATAAGCCCCACCCTATTCCTTATCAGCTTATTCACTTGAACAACTCAAAACACGGTCCTGCCAAACAGTGAGCCCTGTTTTATTGCAGTGAAAAGAGTCAGCGACATTTTGTTGCTTCAAGGACTTTGAAGATGACCCAGTTCTCCCTTGTCATTGATCAGAGGAGAGTACGGAGGCCGGAGGCTAAGAGAAGAGAAAGATTGTCCAACTTAACATGAGTTAGTAGGAAAACTAAGGTGGGACCGGGCGTGGTGGGTGGCACATGCCTGTAATCCCAGCGCTTTGGGAGGCAGATGCAGGCATATCACTTGTGGTTAGGAGTTCGAGACCATCCTGGCCAACATGGTGAACCCCATCTCTACTAAAAATACAAAAATTAGCCAGGCATGGGAGTGCATGCCTATAATCCCAGCTAATTGGGAGGTTCAGGCAGGAGAACTGCTTGAACCCGGGAGGCAGAGGTTGCAGTGAGCTGAGATCACACCACTGCACTCCAGCCTGGGCGACAAGAGCGAAACTCCATTTAAAACAAACAAACAAACAAACAAAGGTGGGCCCAAGGTTAGTGCCCTTTTCTACATGTCACACCCCTCTCAGCCAGGGCTGGCAGTGAAGGTGAAGGGAAAGAACACTCCATTTCTTTTATTCAGTCTCCTTCTGTTCCTTGCATTTCCAGGAGAATGCAAATAGCTTTGGTCTGCACCTCTTACATTTCCCCTACCATCTGGCTCTCAAATATAAACATGGTTTTGTGGCCAAAGTGGAAGAGGAAGTAATGTCTTTGAAACTTATTTTCCTGCTAACATGGCAAAATTATACACTCTCCCAAGAGCCCCTTCTAAATTGCACAACAGTCCCCAAACCTTCAACTCTGTTCATGACAAACAATATATCTTTTATTTTTATCCAGTGACTTTAATGATCTTAAAAACTGGATGTTAGGTATCTGAGTGCGAAATAGCTTATAATCTTTAGCTTCTATAAATGAGTACATTTGGTATAAAAACCATTGTGAAATGTTTTTACACTAATATCCAAAAGGATCAAGATCATAACTTTGAAATTTTCTACACTTAAAAGAACACACACAAAGAACCTGCTAAAATTCCCAAATAAGAAAAACGTACTGTCTTACGTATTTTGATTCGGTCGTTTAAAAAACTTAGTAACGTTATTTCTATAGGATCCCAAAGTTTCGAGAACCCAATGCTAATTTTACAACAGCACTATGTTGTATCAGAAGTTCTTAAATGATGCCACTAACGATATCACATCACAAAGAAACAAGCAGACAAAGCAAGAAACCACTATTCGTTAAAGGGATTCAGATACTTAAGCCAGTATAAATCAGAACACCGATCAAAAGAGAAAGTTAATTCTTCACATGACCATCCATTATCAGAAGCAGGAAAATTTCAGCGCAAAATGATTTTTTCATGTTTTGAGGTAGCCTTTAAATGTATACATGTTTAATACTTTCAGTTACAACTCAGGAAAACAATCAAAGATGTGATGTTTCCATTTTAATTCTAGAAAAGTATTTTTCTACACTTGCACAACTACCAGCTACATACACACAAAAACTAGTTATTTAATAAGAAACTAGACCATCAAAAAGTCTTTGATAATAGGATAATTTCATGTGCCAGAGCATGAACGATGCTGCTGAATTATATCGAGTGCCAAAACCCATAAAAGAGACAATAAAATTGGTCCTACACAGAAGCACTCACATCTTAAATATACATACAAAATGCCCCCCAAATACTACAATTACCATAAATTACAAGTTACAAAGATAACAGTCAAGAGATCCTAAATCCATTTATTGAATAAAAATTTAAGCATGCTTACGAAGAAAAGAAACCAGAAATCGTCGACCTACTTTTTTTCCCAGTAAACGTGGCTAACAAAGGAATTACACAAAGGCTGTACGATCCCACGAGCAGCAGAGTCAATAAGGTAGCATCATAGTGCCTCTCTGAACCAGGCGGTGGGGTGAGGGTAGAATTGATAAAGATTTTTGAAGAAATATCAGTTTCTGTACAACTGCGAAATCCTCCTGGTACAGTCATTTAAAAGGATCAAAGCAAGCTTAAGCAGGAAACACTGCAGCCATGCTCCCTCTCATATCCCTCATGCTTGCTCTTAGTGAATTCGAATGGAGGAAAAAAAAAAAATGTGTAAGCTCCAAGGCACTACACAAAACAGATTAAACCAGCTAGCAAATCAAACTAAGAAAGAGACTCATTGATCTGAATGCTTAATCCGCCAACAGGAACACATCGCCACTAGACAGGCTCTGTGGGTGTATGGTAAACCCCTTTGTTAAAAGACAAAAAGGAATGGACAAAAGCATTTTACAACCTCCTTAGGAGCATCAGACATGGTACTGAAACGGTGGCCAAGTCAACATGGATGTCGACAGAAAACGCGGCGCTATGGCACTACAGATTGTGTCTGTTTCAAGTGCCACAAATTCTGTTGCCACAACAGTTTTTCTAGAGCATGCTGGTGATTCTGTTTTGGCAGTTTGTTTTTAAAATTGCTTTACAAGACAAAGAGAGCTTAAAATAATACATGTGTGAATTACCTTTTCAAATTCAGAGTTCTCTCTCACATGCAAGCCTGATTTTGTGCCACAACTTCAAAATTCAAACAATAAAACTGATAATAATCCTGTTTAATTTCAAGTCACATATCCCAGTATTTCTGAAGGGCCCGGGTATGCAGCTACTTACTCTCATATGAGTCCAGCTACTGCTGCTAGGTGACCCATCGGAAATGTGCTCATTAATTCAATGCCTTCTCTACAAAAAATGCTTTCTCAATTGCCTCACATACCTGCTGTGTCATTTTGGACCAGTGACAGTATCTCTGAGCCTCAATCCCCTCATATATAAAAATCAGGATAACAGTAGAAGTCACTTGAGAGGAAAAGATAAAAGCAAATATGGACATCCTAAAACACTGCTCCACAGCCAGAGGAACCTTGTGAGCATTATTATTATTACACTTTGTCCCCATCTCCTCACCCAAAAGAAGAAACTGATCTGTCAAACTGGGGAGATCAATTTGCTGCTCCTCTCCATACCCTTGTGTCTGGTTTTATTAGTATTCTCATCATCCATGAAAAATACCTTCTTTTTCTCCTCCACTATTTTTTTAGAATAAGGGCCATTTCTTTCACATCCTATGTCCCTCACTGCACCTATCATGGTGTCTGTGCACAGTGGGCACTTCAACATTAAGTTTATGAATTATTTCGTGGGGAAGTATAAAAAAGGATATGAGAAAATAAGAACCAAGTCCAAATACATCTTTGGAATGAAAGAGGTATCTCAGTAAGTTCACTCATTTATACATAGAAAATAGAACTCAGGTTAACTGAAAACTTTAACAAAAGTCTCCTGAGTTTAAATTTTTTAGAATGAGGATTCAAGTTATATTAGTCATATTACACAAAATCTAGCATCCAAAGATACTACAAGAGATAGTCTTTTGCAAAGTAAATGAAACTATAGCAATCTTTTTCCTGATTCCAGTTAGAGTCCAAATCCCCTGAGTTGCTACTCTTAACCCTCCAAAACACCATTACTTCAGATGATGCACTTTAGAATCCTCCATGCAAAAATATACTTTAACACACAATTATTTCAAGAGAGTTTTTCAAAGAATTTGGTTTTTTTCTGCCAAACTTTCAGAGCAACTCCAAGGAAGCAGTATGCATACTTTTCCTGAAACCCTAGAAACAAAAATTCTAATTCTACGCAGAGCATTCGCTTTGCTTGCAATGACTGTTTCCACAACCCCCGAAGTGTGATATAAAGTTGACTTACAATTGTTGCTGTAAGTGCTCAGCTCACTGTGGGTGCTGGCTATTGAGGGGGTGCTTCCTGTCCTCCGCAGCGCAGAACTTTTCAAAGATGCTTTGGATTTAGGAAGTGGTCTAGACAAATTCACCCATGACGACTGTGCAGTTTTCAAGGATGCAGGTTTTCCTTGGGGTTTAAAAAAAAAAAAAAAAGTTTCCACTGCTATTCATCCTGAAAGCCGGCACTTTTTAAGCCTGTAAACTCAAACTTCTGCACTAACAACAAAGTCAAAACACAAAATGAATATTCACGATCATGTAACTTCAGACGAAAGATGAAAGCTTCACGCAGATGTGTTTATTTTTGATCATTTAGAGGCAGGAGAGCAGCAATGATGAGGCAATTAGGATATGAGAAGTGTGGCAGTAACCCTGTCTCCTAAAGTAATTAACTCACACATGTTCTCTGAAGGAGAAGATCAATCAGAAGAATCGTGAGAAAGCAGATTTTGGCAAAACTGAAATCAAAGAATAAACAAACTGATATGACCTCCCATACTGTTGACTAAAAAAAAAAAATATTCCATTAGGACAATAGGCTATATAAGAAATAAATAAGTGGAAAATTTTAAAATCACCCAAACAGAAAGAAAAATGCAACTTGATAAGAAAAAACTTCATTTGAAAAATGCCTAATGTTCTAACACCAGGTGGTGCTATACTATTAAGATTCTTTTTTTACTCTCACCTTTTCTTCTTTATTCTCCACAGTTTCTTTATTCTCACCCGCAGTCCTGTCTTCCTTCTGAATCTCAAGGCTACTCGTGTTTTTTTAAGTACTTATTGAGTACTTTAAGATTTCATCTTGGACCGACATGCTCCTGTTTATGCTGATTATAGCGCCATTGTTTTATTATTATTTTTTTTAATCTCACTTTGTTGCCCAGGCTGGTCTCAAACTTCTGGCCTTAAGCAGCCCTCCTGCCTCAGCCTCCCAAACTGCTGGAATTACATGTGCAATCCACCCCACCCAGCCATACAGCCCTATTTTTAATTTTTTTTCTAGCTTCAAACCATTGAAATCATCTTTTCTTCCCCAGATACCCGTATATTCTAGCACTGTCTCCCAGTGCGACCAGTACCCCCTAACAGAAGTTGAGGAGGACCTTTGATGAAAATGACATTGTTGCGTATCACTAAGGATCCCATAAGTGAGTCAGGTAATGCTGCCAGAAAGTCATGCCCATTGCTTTGTTCCAGCAATTTCGCTCATAAAAACCTCATCCTAATGGAGAAAAAGATGCTGAAGCTCCTCAGGCCTGGCATGTGAAGTGACCGCATTAAGCTCCCATTTCGGCTCCAGCCTCACTCTTGCATTGCTCTTCAACATCCACGTGTGCTCTGCTCCAATCAACCTAGCTTTCTCTCTGACATCAGGGCACACCGTGTGCTATTCTATTAATATTCCAACAGGTGCATCATTTCTTTTCAAAGAGCTCTTCTTCCTCCTCTTTTTGAATACTTATTTAACCCTTTATATCATTGTCTAAACTGTACTGGACTACTAAAATCCTGTCCTTCCATCCCTTCCAACTCCATCGTGTTAATCTCCTGAATGTGAAAATGAAGGTCATGACCCAATCTAAAATTTGGGATTCTCCACTATGCACAGCATGTGGCCCAGGACAGCTTTGAATGCTGACCCGATACAAGTTCATCAATTTTCTTAGAACATTATGAGATTTTTTTGCTATTTTTTTTGTTAGCTCATCAGCTATCATTAGCATATTTTATGTGTGGCCCAAGATAATTCTTCTTCCAGCGTGGCCCGGAAGCCAAAAGATTGGACACTCCGATCTATAGGATGGTGATCTTAGTTTCAATCCTTTTATTTAACATTAATTTCACAGGCTTAAAAGGCAATATAGGGTTGATCCCTACCCACTTCTTCCTGCTTAGGCCATGCCTCCACCCCTTCATACACACACACCCCTTAGTGGTTTCTCTCCAGTCATTTCACTCTATTCTTCTGCTTATGTACATTCTTCCGACTGAATGGCCTCCTTTGTATCCCCTCCCCTATTTCTGTCCAGTGAATGCAAAGTCAGTTCAAGCTTCTCTTTTAAACCCTTGCTACTCTTTGCAGCTCCACCCTAGGCCTACTGAATCACCACCTGCAGTTTCACAAGATCCCCAGGTGATTAAAATGCACATGGAGTTTCTGAAGCACTGTTGAGAATCAGGACCTCTTTGTGAGCTTATCCTGCCAGGACACCCTCTTCTGTGTGCCATGGACTACACCTTGCTTTCTGCTCACACCACGTACTTGCTTCTATCACAGCATTTGCCCCCACATTCCTCTTGGACCATCTCTAAGGTTCCTGAGATCAGGAAGAGCACCTGATTCAATTCGGGTCCTCAGGAACTGGCAAAGGTCTAGCATGGGGTGAGCCTTAATAAATGTTTCCTCAACAAATTCGTTTTTTTAACGCCAAGAGTAAATGATGTATTTTGAAAATGTGTTCGCCCATCACCTGCATTGAAGCATTCAGTGCTTAACCCATTTTCACAAGTTTATGTGTCTCTTCAGTCTATTGGAGACTTTTTTCTTTACACCCTTTACAATAATTAGCAACTGTGAGATGGCAAATACCCATTTTAAAAATTTATGTTTAGCCACCAGTTTTACTTGCTTTAGGAGGAACAGAAAAATGGATTTTTAGAATATAAATTTACCAAATTGCTGCCCTTTCAGGAGAAACAATGATGAGTCATCATCATCACAACTGATAAACGAGGGTGGGCAAGGAACAGATCAAAATGACTGGGCCACAGCCACAGGGCAGCCAAGGCTTCCTACATTTTGGAAATCTGCTTATTCTTCAGAAATACATGCCTCGTAGCTTTGTTTCTAAACACACCTTAGGTTTGCAGACATTACTGTGTGCGCCTTGGAACTACTACAGAACACCTGTACCTTCACACAGCTGCACTAGAGGAAAGCTCACCCCCGCACCCAAATATCATTTCCCTGACCTCCCCTATCTCACTGGCACCCCCATCCAGGCCCATCCCCTACACCTAACGGCAGCCAGTCCTCGCCAAAGTCTTCCCTTCCCAATCCCACCATGACTCTTGACTAATGAGCACTGAGGAGAACAAAATAAATGCCGATTTCACCAAAAGATTAGTTCCTTTGATAGTGAGAATAATCCTAACAGTGTGTGACTATTACTATCCCAGTTTATAGATGAGAAAACTACTTAGGTGGTTAAATGGTGTACCTGGGTCACATACCCAGACGGTGACAGTAAGGCCTAGAATCCAAGCGTCTAACCACCCGCCCAGGGTTCCCTGGGCCATGCCACAGAATACAAGCATCTCAGTTAAAGAAGTGTGAGGCTTGGAGGCAGGCAGAGGTCAGACTGGAGCTCTTACTAGACAGGAGCTCCTACAGCGGAATGGGGAAAACAGTGCACATGCAACAAAGACATTTAACTATTTCACCAACAGTTTCGACGTTTAGCTTAACAGTAAAGATGACCTAAAGTTGTTTTAATTGGATTTCATACCAAGCAATAAAATATGCACATCATAAGCAATATTAAAAGTCAAACATAGCAATATTAGGTTAACTGAGAGACTGCAAGTAACCCAGGCACTAAATTCTTAAACAGTGAAATCAGTACAGGACTTCTCTGAATTACAGTCCTGAAAAGATTACATTTACCACCTCATATCGTATTGTGTAACTTATCCCAGATGTGAAAGATAAAGATTTAAGATCTACTTGCCAGGATACTATTGACCTCTGCAGTTTATTTTAAGTTCATGCACTTAGCGTAGACTTACGTATAGACAACAGATTTGTTTTTATTCTGTAATTATAACCATCTTTTATGTAGGGAAAATCTGGAAGGAATAATACTTCCACTTTGCCTTAGATAGTAACACAGACAGTCTACTGGATTTGAAGCAGATTTTCATTCATCAACCAATTTACTAGAACACTCACCTCAGAAAACCTGAGTAAGTGTACCATATTTAACAACAATAAAAATCAGTAAAAGACGCCTAACAAAACTAAAATTTCAATGGAAAGATAAAGTGAACAACAGGATAGTGTTAATATTAATATTATCCTATTCTGTAAAACAAGATGGTAGAATGGTGCTTGCTAGGAGCTGGTGGGGAAGGGAAATGGGGAGTTGTTCAACGGATATAAAGTTCCAGTTATGCAAGATGAATACGTCCTGCAGATGTGCTGTATAACACACTGCCTATGTTTGACAACACTGCACTGTGCACTTAAAAATGTGTTAAAGGGTAGATCTCGTTAGGTCTTCTAAGAAAGAAGGAAAAGAAAGAAGAGGCTGGGCGCAGGGGCTCATGCCTTTAATCCCAGCACTTTGGGAGGCCGAGGTGGGCAGGTTGCGAGGTCAGGAGATCGAGACCATCCTGGCCAACACGGTGAAACCTCGTCTCTACTAAAATACAAAACACTGGCTGGGTGTGGTGGCGTGTACCTGTAGTCCCATCTACTCGGGAGGCTGAGGCAGGGGATCGCTTGAACCCAGGAGGCACAGGCTGCAGTGAGCCGAGATCACACCACCGCACTCCAGCCTGGGTGACAGAGCAAGACTCCAATTAAAAAAAAAAAAAGAAAAAGAAAAAAGTAAAGAAGAGAAGAAATGAAAACGAAGAAAAGAAACAAACAGGACTTGGAGGGAGCAGTGATAGCTATGAGATGTGGGAAATAAAGGAAGGAGACCAAATTATACATGAACACTGAGAAATTATCATATTGGCTAGAGAAAAACTCAGAACTAACCCGGCTGAGGGGGTTCCAAGGCAAAAATAAAATTATAGAAATAAAGTTCCATTTTGCAAATCCCCTGCAAAAAGAAAAAACATATTTTAAGTTTGTATTTACCTATATGTTGAAAAAGTCCAAAAGGCCGTACCACAATTCTGTGAGACTAGTAAGAGGTACAGCAGAGTCAGACAAGGAAGAACAGAGAAGGTGCAGAAATGATAACTTTTCCTTCATACTTTATACACAAATACATTACTCCACATGAATTTTAATTTTACAATGAGCATATTTTATAATGAAGCTATTAAATATTATTAAAGTCAATGGGGTCAAATTTAATCAGATAAGACACCTAAGACAAAGAAATCAAG